TGGTTCCCTGCCTTGTCCACCATACGTGCAAGGAAGGGAACTACCGTGTGCAATTTGTTCTAAATGATTTTTAATTTATCTTTATTTTAGCAATTATGAAAATAGATTGTTTAAATCATAGGAAGTTGTTATTTAAACCTCACTAGAGAAACAAGTTCTAGCTATAACAACTTACGTTGATCATTTTCGAACCCGCTTTCTGGAACCTACCAGTAATAGCATCATCTGATGACACGTGGTCGTGACCGGAGTGTAGTTTGTTCTATATGATTTATTTATCTGTCTTTGCAATTATCAAAAAATTAATTATTCAGATAGAAGAAACTTATTTAGTGTATGATGCTTGAAGGGAACTTATTTAAAGTGTATAAAGCTATATATCTGATGCATACATTACTGTTTCCATTTTTAAAAAAGTATACTTCCAAAATTCTTGTATGAAATAAATATGGTAACTTATTGCCTTGAAAGCGAATGGTGCATGCACAAAATCATTGCTAAACGGATAAAACCCTTCTTAAATAGCAAAATAATATTTTGTAACGGAACTTTTTTTCTGTTTACGTACATTATTAATGTGTATTAAATAATAGAGGCAGTATATGTTACAACTTTTTCCGGAAATCAACGACATTATAATGGAACCAATATAATTTTACTGTTAATAAATTTTATTAAAACATTTCAGAAGATATAGATTTATACCCTTTAAGCTCTTATGAGGATTAAGTTCTTACTTAACTTTTTCGAGTCAGCTCCCTAAAACAAACCAGTACTATTGTCATTTGAAGACAGTCGTGACCCGAGAAGGGTAAGGCTCGAACCATTGACAACAAAAGTCAATAGAATTTAAAATTCCACTCAGATAGTGCATTCTGATGTAATTATGTTTAAATATTCAACCGTTGTACCAAAGTCTACGGCTCATACCTACGAAGAGTAACGATACTTTATGTACCGGTATGTATTTTGTAATGAAATAACACAAGTGACATGCATCACATAATGTTTTATATACGTATACTCAGTATACTTAGTAATGTTAGGGTATTTCCAGTTATAATCCCTGGCCTGTTTAATGTCAGTCGTGTGATTGCTCAAATGACTGCTTAGTTAAATGTAACGCCGCCTGTTACATTCTAAATAAATAATGTTATATATCCATGTAAGATATAAACTTATACTAGGCAACATTTAAGTTGGAAAACGAACAGCCCAAGGAATACTTTTTCATGGACTTAGGGCACTTTTTTATGCTGAATCTATCCAATGAGCTTACATATGTTCGATTTTCTGCTGGTCTCTTAGTATAAACTTTAGTGATTGAGTAAGAGGCTATTTCATCTGGCAGCGCACTAAAGACCTTCACGCTATCGATGTAACCGTAACATGTAGGTATTACTCCAACGATATTCCTTATATTAGTTGACATTAAATATCGGAACAATTGCATTTGAAAAAGTATCACTGTTCGTTTTCATAATATAACATGGTTTTTATAATCATATATGATATCATATTTCCGAATAATTTTTTAAGAAATAATATCGGTCTCAGCGGTGTTTATCGGCTATTTGATGCGTTGAAATAGTCCACGAAGGCCTTATGCTCAAACAATCTTACTGGAATATTTGCAGTTTAACACTGTTTTCTTTCTTCGTATAGTGACAGAATCACGTGGCATGTTAGAACTTTTCAATATCATCCTGTAGTAGAGCATTAACCTTTTACCCCATGAGCATATTGTGAAAAAATGGCCGTTTCCGTTGAAAGACCTCCTGTTACTAGTTCAAACTGCTACGAAACAATGAAAAATGCTTCAATACTAATGAAACTTGGCACAAATGTTGACTGGACTATAGCCTCTGTATCAGCATGCTCAATCGTAAATTTCCTTTTACCATGGCAACGCAGGGACGTCTCAAAATTGCGAAAAATCACTATCTTGCGTTGTTTTTTTTCCCATCAAAACTGATTTCAAAGTGCTGCAACCTCTCAATGAATTGAGATAGAGTAAAAGGCTTTTCAGCGTCGGTTACTAGTTACCCTAAGATCGACCTGCGGCCATTTTTAGCCTGTCACATGTCCAAACTTTTCTTGGCGATGAGGGGGACTGTCGCCCACTTTAAAGCCTCAAACAGAAGGGGGCACATCCCCCTTCTTCCAACCCCCTGATGTACCATTTTGTTGGGGGCGGTACCGAAAAAGTGGTCACTTTTTTAATAACATTTCTGAAAACTAAAGACAGTGTTTTGGGCCTTAATAAGGCATTTTTCTCTGTTTGAGGCCTCAAAAAGGGGGAGGGAAGCCGTCAACACACGTCTATATGAGTTAAAAGGTTAAGCAACAACACAGATGACACAAGTACACAAGAACGTATTTTTCATACATGGATGCAACATGAATTAAAACGACATTGCCCTAAGAAATGCACGAATTTCAAAAATAAAACAAAGAATTGAAAACGGAGCTGCATGACAACAGTAAGTGTGTTGCAAGATAATACAATTTTCATTAACAAATTTTAAACCAAACTTTCCTAAATACAAGCATTTATAGCCATTTATTTATATCCAAAAAGTAATATTTTTATACTCTTGAAATGTGATTCTACATTTCTTCATTTCGTGATTTTTCGGACTTTCTTTGGTATCTGAGTAGAAGCACTGACCTTCCGTTGGCTAAGCTTGATTACTTCCTTCATTGTCCCTCGCGAGAAACGAATTCACAGCGGTTAGGAGCAAGTAATTTGAACTCAGCGACCTTAATCACTCAGCTAGGAAAGTCCATTAATAAGTCTATTAATGACGTTAACGTACAATTTATTACTACCATCGATAATGTTAACAATTCATATCAATTTTAAAGATGAAACACTTAAAGACTAATCAAGTGTTCATATCGCTTTAACTTTAGCGTATAATTCTAAAAATTTAGAAAAATAAATGTTCCGCGCCGTATCATTACAGAAAATGTGTCTTTTTATGTACTAATCTGAAAAAGGGACGATTCCTACAACAGTATGAAATTAAAATTGCATACTCGACTTGATTGACCTTGTTCATAAAGAAATGCATCATCTCGTAAGCCCTATAGCACCGGATTAAGCGGTATTCAATCTTCAACACTTACATGCTGGAATCATTAATCCCGATGAACAAAAAATATATATTACAACAATGGCGTGAAGTACAAGGTAACATTTTACAACTGCCACACTGCACTTGCTGTTGTGAAGCATACAATTCTGGAAAATGGGTTATCCTTCGGAAGCATTGAAAACAACAATACAATATGAATATAGCAGACTTGTTTGAATTAAGTCATTGGTACTCTATTCAACATTACAATGTGCAGTGCATATCAGGTGACAATGTGCAGTGCATATCAGGTGAAATTTCGCGGAAAGTTAAAACAGTGTTAATATATCATAATATCATATAACAAGAGGAACTACATGTAAATAAAATGAAGAAATTAGCTTGTATAAAATTGTTGTACACCCTTGGTTGTAATTCATGAATGACATGTATTATTTTTGGCATTTGGAGTATATATTATTACATATCTTTATTTTTGACATTTTTGTCCGAATAAAAGTATATTATGTATTTATCGGCTATTATCTTAAAGTGTTTTTTTCTTTTCACAATATCTAAGAAAATAATATAAAGGCAAGTCATTGGTTTTTCGCTATGCAGGTTGTCTGTGCACTTATTATGTTTTACAAATATATTAATTAGTTTGTTATTCGAATAAAAATATTTTCAAATCAAAGCAAGACAGCATTTAAAAAGAAATAATCCTGTTTAAAAAAAGAAGTAGATTTGGGACGTCACGTAAATGACATTTCTTTTTCTCGCCTTTTTCGCATAGGATCGATATGGCGCCAAATATTTGCTTTTGTTTTAGGAAGCGTATACTGACTGTCGCAGTGAATGAGAATTTTCTTAATATTATCAAAATGAGTGATAGTTTTAAAATTTGAAAACATGATAACAGTATTTTTTTATTTAAACATTTTTTTAAATGATATATGTCATAACAGTTTTCGATTATCTTTCCTATAGAATCAAATAAAGCATATTGACTTTACAAATAATGAGGAAATTATGATGATTTGTAAATATGTGCTAAAACTAAAATTTACCACTTTGACATAAAATAACTTGTGCTTTTATAAGCGTGGTCACGAGTTAAAATCTCAGTCGTGGTCGAATCTTTTCTTATGTATTTAATTGTATCTTTCTGTTACAAACTGAACATGTTTGTAAGAAGCTCAACAACAAACTTTAAGTATAGTTCTAATCAAATGAAATATATTACTAGCTGCTCACAAAGTAGGTTTTGTAACTATTTATGTAACGAATGAAACGTTCCCATATTGACGCCGCGTGTCCGTGCACTCGTGCTATTATTACGCATTATATTAAAAGCTAGCTATGTGGCTTTAAAGATATTCAGTACGTGCACATAGACAACAATCACATTTTAATGTTGAATGAATGAATGAATTAGACAAATTACTTGTTATTTATTTAAAAATGAAATGGATGAACGAACAAACGAACGAATGGACGGTCGGACGAACAAACAAACGAACGGACTGACGAACGAATGAATAATTGAATGATTGAAATGAAAATATGTGAATATGATGATGAAAATGATATCTAACAATTGTATAATAAATATGGTATTTAAAAGTAAGTATATTATTCTCTATAAATATCATTCATATAGTTTGCTTACGTGCTTACGTAAAATGTAATTATAAGTTTTATAACATGTGTTATAGTGTAATGGAATATCTGGGTTTCACGATCGCTTTGAATTAGAGTGAACTATGTTTTATGTAGCCTTGCATAAGCATAAACGACAAGTTTTTCTTACATCATTACTATTTGTCTTGTCGTCTTCCTTATCTACACATTATAAACATATCTATAAATTATTCTCGCGTTTTTTGTCTTTCTATCATTAAAGCGGCGTGAGTGAGTGCAAAATTCACAAAGTATCTCTTATCTTTCATTCACAAAATCATGTACTTCTCCACAAAAGAGATGTTCAACGTGGCAGTTAGTTTGCTTTTCATATTTTCCTTGCAAAAGTTTTTGGTTGATTCAAGTGAATCTTCAAGAAAATGGTTACTATTGCATTCACAAGAAGATCTTGTCCAAAGGCTGATTAAAGTGGAAGCTGAGCTTGTGTCTCTTAAAAATACATCGAAACAAACAGGTAAGACTTATTTAAAACCATTTATGCAAGCTGTATTTTTTCAGTAATATTTTATATTCATTATTTTGGCATGTTAAAATCTGTACATTTATGAACAATACATGTTTTATAGACAATGTTATTGATAACAGGTGTGAAGTAAGTGTCTCATTTTCTGTATTAATTGCTTCCAAAGGAACCCCTATTCCAGAAATTTAGTCTGTGTTCAAAACTATATATGCAAATGTAATACAGGGAGTCTGCAAGACAATATCTAAGACCATTTTTTCTGTAATTCCATTGCGTGTTGTTTTTTTGTTTTTGTTTGTGTTTTTTAAATAATTGTAATTCATTTCAGGATATGGTTCAACATATGTGAGATGGGGAAGAAACACGTGTCCTGTCGACAATAAACTTGTCTATACTGGTATTTTTCTCTAAAGAAAAAAGTTTGATTTAAAAAAACACATCACTTATTGCTTGCAATTCTGAATTTATTTCAAGTAATCTTCGTTCTTTATTCATACAGCATTATTATCTACAACAAACACTCTAGGTGCCGTTTACCACGTTTAAGGCTCATACGTGTATCGTCTATTATGAGCATTAATGCAATATTTTATTAAAATGTTCAAGGTCTACTTTGTTTTCTTTAGTATATCCTTAGGGAAGCCAACTGTTTTTCAATTTTTCCGTGTTGATTTCTTTGTTAGAAATAACTAAATTAGATACATTTCTGTGATTTTCGAGCTAAGTAAGTTTTGATTGGGTTTCTGTGATGTACTTAAATGAAAAATATGGTACATTTACATGCAATTGTTTTTTTTTATCTGTAATGAACATACCATACTGTCTTTGAATTTACTCTTTCCAAATTATTAATTGACAAATGCCCGACAATAATTTTTGTTACTTGTAATTCACATTTGTAAGTGCATTTTAATAGTCCTTTTTTAGGATGACACCCGTTTTCTTCCAAAAATTTACGCTTTCTAGGTTACTTTTACCGCCTCGGTATTGGATGTATTTCTCTATTTCATTGTTTGCCTTTTCCAAACAACCATCGACAATTTCCGTAAGCATGAACCAAGCTTTTCGCTGTTCTTTAAGGAAGTTGTTCATCTATAACACACATTTTTATTTACCTTTTAATAATAATATAATCATAATGAAGTATATGATGACCAATCTTCAGAAATGTTTTTTTATTCTTTTAGGATACACTGCTGGGAGATACTTCAACACTGCTGGAAGTGGCACAACTAATTTATGTCTTCCCGATGACCCCAAATGGGCGAATTATGTGGATGGTAATACAGCTGGAAATAGTAACCGAGGTCATATTTATGGCGCTGAAATTGACATTGAAGTACCGAATCAATTTTTCCATATTCAGTCCTAAATCAAGACATACCCTGTGTTGTCTGCAAATCTCCACGCTCGATTTCCCTTATGATTCCAGCAAGAAAGGAATGCTATCCTGGCTGGACAATTGAGTATTGGGGGTATCTTTTGGCCGGTATGTCTAGTAGACCTGGGGGTAATGATCATATATGTGTAGATACAAAACCAGAGTTTAATCAACATGGCGGTACAAATGATGATGAGCATATATTGTACCTTGTGGAAGCTCAGTGTGGTTCCCTGCCTTGTCCACCATACGTGCAAGGAAGGGAACTACCGTGTGCAGTTTGTTCTAAATGATTTATAATTTATCTTTATTTTAGCAATAATGAAAATAAATTGTTTAAATCATAGGAAGTTGTTAATGTGTATTAAAGTATTTGAAGCTCACTAGAGAAACAAGTTCTAGCTATGACAACTTACGTTGATCATTTTCGATCCCGCATTCTGGAACCTACCAGTAATAGTATCATCTGATGACACTTGATCGTGACCGGAGCGTAGTTTGTTCTAAATGATTTACTTATCAGTCTTTGCAATTATAAAAAAATAATTATTCAGAAGGAAGAAACTTATTTAGTGTATGATGCTTGATGGGAACTTATCTTAAGTGTCTTAAGCTATATATCTGATGCAAACATTACTGTTTCCATTTTAAAAAAGTATATTTAAAAAGTATACTTCCAAAATGCTGGTATGAAATAAATATGGTAACATATTGCCTTGAAATGCACAAAATCATTGCTAAACGGATAAAACCTTACTTAAATAGGAAAATAATATTTTGTTACGGAACTTTTTATTCTTTTTACGTATTAAATAACAGAGACATTCTATGTTACAACTTTTCAGGGAATCAACCATATTATAATGGAACTAATATAATTTTACTGTTAATACATTTTATTAAAATATTTCAGTAGATATAGATTTATAACCATTTAGCTCTTATGAGGATCAAGTTCTTACTTAACTTTTTCGAGTCAGCCCCCTAAAACAAACCAGTACTTTTGTCATTTGAAGATAGTCGTGACCCGAGAAGGGTAAGGTTCGAACCATTGACAACACAAGTCAATAAAATTTAAGATTTTACTCAGATAGTCCATTCTGATGTAATTATGTTTACATATTCAACCGTTGTACCAAAGTCTACGGCTCAAACCTACGAAGAGTAACGATACTTTATATATCGGTATGTATTTTGAAATGAAATAAAACAAGTGTCATGAATCACATAATGTTTTATATACGTATACTCAGTATACTTGGTAATGTTAGGGTATTTCCAGTTATAATCCCTGGCCTGTTTAATGTCAGTCGTGTGATTGCTCAAATGACTGCTTAGTTAAATGCAACACCGCCTGTGGAACTATTTTCTAAATAAATAATGTTACATATTCATGTGAGATATAAACTTATACTAGGCAACATTTAAGTTGGAAAACGAACAGCCAAAGGAATACTTTTTCATGGACTTTGGGCTCTTTTTATATGATGAATCTATCCAATGGGCTTACAGATTTTCGATTTTCTGCTGGTCTCTTAGTATGCACTTAAGTGACTGAATTACAGGCTATTTCATCTGGCAGCGCACTAAAGACCTTCATGCTGTCGGTGTAACCGGAAACCAAACCTTACTTGTAGGTAGTACTCCAACGATATTTCTTATATAAGTTGACATTGAATATCGGAACAATTGCATTTGAAAAGGTACCACTGTTCGTTTTCATAATATAACATGGTTACTATAACCATATATAATATAATTATTCCGAATAATTACTTAAGAAATAATATCGGTCTCAGAAGTGTTTATCGGCAATTAACACCGGTTTGGAGTTTTGATGCTTTGAAATTGTCCACGAAGGCCTTAGGCTCAAACTATCTTACTGCAATATTGACAGTTTAACACTGTTTTTTCTTCGTATAGTGACACAATCACGTGGCATGTTAGAACTTTTCAATATCATCCTGCAGTAGAACATAAAGCAACAACACAGATGACACAAGGACGTAATTTTTCATACATGGATGCAACATGAATTAAAACGACATTGCCCTAAGAAATGCATGAATTTGAAAATAAAACGGAAATTGTAAACATAGCTGCATGGTTTTCAGTAAGTGTGTTGCAAGATATTACAATTTTCATTAATAAATTTTAAACCAAACTTTTCTAAATACAAGCATTAATAGCCAATTATTTATATCCAAAAAAGAATATTTTTTTACTCTTGAAATGTGATTCTACATTCCTTCAGTTCGTGGTGTTTTTTCAAACTTTCTTTCGCATCTGAGTAGAACCACTGACCTTCCGTTGGCTAAGCTTGATTGCATCCTTCATTGTCCCTCTCGGGAAACAAACTCACAGCGGAGCAAGTAATTTAAACTCAGCGACCTTAATCTCTCAGCTAAGAAAGTCCATTATTAAGTTCATTAATAACGTAAACGTACAATTTATTACTACCATCGATAACGTTAAAAAATCATATCAATTTTTAAAGATGAAACACTTAGACAGTAATCAAGTGTTCATATCGTTACAACTACGCGTATCATTAAAATGGTCCACGCCGTAACATTACAGTAAATGTGTCTTTTTAATGTACACATCAGGAAAATGGACGATCCATAGGAAGCACTGGAATCAACAGTATAAAATGAAAATTGCATGAAAAAATCGGCTTGATTGACTCTGTTCATAAAAAGTGCATCATCTCTGAAGCTCTATAGTAGCGGCTTAAGCGGTATTCATTCTTAAACTCTTACATGCTGGAATCAATGATCCCGAAGGACCAGAAAAAAAATAACAACAATGGTGTGAAGTACAAGGTAACATTTTATAAATGCCATACAGCACTTGACACCTGCTGTTGTGAAGCAAACAATTCTGGAAAATGGGAGATCTCTCGGAAGCATTGATAACAAAAATACGAAAATTGAAGAGTCGATTAAATTAAGTTTTTGATACTTTTTATTACATACATATTCGACATTACAATTTGGAGTACATATCATGTTAAGAGTATATATCATACTCTTTGTTTTTGACATTGTTAGTTGTTCCAACAAAAGTATATTATTCATTTATCGACTAATTTTTTAAAGTGTTTGTTTTTTCTTCAAAATATCTAAGGAAATAAAATATAGGTCACTCACTGGTTATTAGCTAAACGGGTTGTCTACGCACTTACCATTTTTATAAGTTAATTAGTCTGTTATTCCAATGTTATTCCAACGTTTATGATATTTGTTTTTCTTGCCTTTTTTCGCATAGGAAAAATAAAGCGCCAAAAATTTGCTCTTAGTTTAGGAAGCGTATCTGACTGTTGCATTGGATAAGTGTTTTCATAATCATCAAAATGAGTAATAGTTATAAAATTTCAATCAGCAATTGTTTATTTAAACATTTTTTAAATTATATCTGTCATAACAATTTTCAATCATTTTTCCTATAGAGTCAAATAAAGATGTCAGCCTATGTGGAAATTATGATAACTTGTATAAGTGCTAAAACTAAAATTCAGATGTACTTTGAAATAAAATAACTTTTGCTTGTTAGAAACCTGCCACGAGATAAAATCCCAGCCGCAGTCGAATCTTTTTACGTGTATTTGTATCTTCTTTCTGTTGCAAACTGAAAATATTTGTAAAAAGTTCAAAAACAAAGTAAAATTATAGGTATTAATCATATAAAATTTAAGAGTTTCAAAGTTTATTGACATTTAGCTAAAACATTTGCCTTTGGCTATTTACAAATTTATCACTATGGCAAAGACAATACAGGCGATATAAATACCAATAAAAACATACCTGTATGTACAATGATAATATTCACGACCATTTGTACGTCTTTCACGACATTAATTTATTGAATCTTTGTACAGTTGGCCACGAGAATTGGCTTAGATAGTTGGATCTTAGATCTCTGTATATTTAACAACATAAAACAAAATGATATTCATTATCATTTAAATTTTGACAACATATTCTACAATTTCTGTTTCAAAGCCTAAAGACCGTTCTGCCAGTTTTGGATAAATTGGTTCCTTTTAAATATTAGAATAATATATATTGCCAGACAAATACAATCTTATTTCAGTAAAACCTAAATGATCAAGCAATAGAATTCATTCATTTTGCCCAACATATACCGCTTATATTGCCACATTGATCTATATACAATGTACATGTGACATATAGGTAAATCATTGGCTTTCACCAATTTAAGCCAACATTTAATTTTTAAATTTTGTACAGCGCTGCTTATATTTTTTTCAGCCTTGCTGAACATTTATTCAGTAATTCGTAAATATGTATAATTACTTCCTTGTCTTTCTCATAATGTATATTAGAGAGGTCAACAGCTCTTCATTTTTTCCGTGTTGATTTTTTTCTTAGAACTAACTTATGCATTTCTGTGATTTGGGAGATAAATAAGTTTTGATTGGGTTTGTGATACTTCAGTACATGTACATGAAATTCTTTCTTTTTCTGCAATGACTTTACCAGCTTCGGTTTTACTATTTCCAAATTACTCATTGGCACATTCTCCCGAACAATTTTTGTAACATTTCATTCTCATTAATTTTTGCATTTTTGATATTCCTGCTTTGGATATTCCTGTTTTACGTGTTCTCAGCTCCTTTTACCGACTTAGCTGTTGAATATTCATCAATATCTTATTTTTCAGCTTTTTTACTGAATAACTATCGACAATTTCCGTAAACCTTAATTAAGTTTTTTTTTGCGGTTCTTTAACGAAGTTATGCATCTGTTACACACGCATTTTGTATTTTAACTAAAATCACAAAGTATATGATGACAAATCTTCAAAAACATTTTTTATTCCTTTAGGATACAATGCTGGGAGATACTATAACACTGCCGGAAGTTGGTCTTCCACATGACCCAATATGGGCTTCTTATGTAGATAGTAATGCATTGTTGCCATGCGCATATTTACGACTCTGAAATTGACTAACATGAACCGAGCCAAATCTTTCAATATGCAGTTGATAACCAAGACATGCCCTGTGTCCTCTGTAAATCTCCACGCTCGATTTCGACCATGATTTCAGCAAGGAATGAGTGTTATCCTGGTTGGAACATTGAGTATTTGGATATCTTATAGCCGGGTTTTGTTGTTGTTTTTTTTTAAACCTGGTGGGGTCATGACTATATATGCATGGATTCAAAACCAGAATTCAATCAGCATGGGGGTAAAGATGATAACGATCATATTCTTTACTTGGTTGAAGTACAGTGTGGTTCTCTTCCTTGTCCACCTTATGTGCAAGGAAGAGAGTTTCCGTGTGCAGTTTGTTCTATATGATTTATCTATTTATCTTGC